CTGGTGCGATTCTGTGAACCTCGCAAATGTCCAGAGCATCGTTGAAGGCACCCGCATACGTATCCGAACTCCTCAGTCGCTTCGCATCGGCCAGCTTGTTTTCGCAAGCCCATACAGTTCGCCGATCTGCGGCATCTCCGCCCAACTCTCCACCAGTAACCATAGCGCAAGTAGTCGCTGCGCTCGCGTGCCCAACGTTTCTCCGCAGTGCCAATGTGCATCCAGAAAACGGCGAGACATGACAACCAAATCCTTTGCGAACGTGCACTTGCTTCAACGATTGCAATGCAAGTTGTAGCTGTTTCTGGAGGTGGTCGCTTTTCCCTTCGAGTTGTGCAACTTGTTTTCTGCTCTGTCTCCCCTCGCGTTCTAAGGGCACCACTTGTTGCTCAATATCATGGACTTGCATATCTCGTGGAACCAGCATCTCGCACTTGTCACCTTCCCCAAGTGCCATGTACCGAGCATGCGACTCGGCATTGAATCCGACGATTGCCCTAGACGGTGTCGCTCTCCGTTTGTGATATCGTTGTGCTGCGTTGTAATTGTCAAGCATGCCCCGCATACAATCCTCAGCAATAGAATCTGGACCCTATGTTTGGCAGAAAGCCATCGTATCACTCGGCAAGAGCACCCATCGAAAGGAAAGCCCATCATCGTGGATTGGTGGCGGTCCTGGGGTGTCGCCGCACAATTGATTATTCACGAGCTCCCTCACATGATTTACGACTCGTTGTCTCAATCCTCTGAGATCGACTGCCCGTGCGCATGCCTCGCCGAGCATGTGCAACATCAATTTGGCGGCATCGACATACTTGATATAACCATGCTCCAACAATGTCGGAATTGGAGCCACATGCGACAAGGCTGTTTCGAAATGCGCGAAGGGCAATCGCCCTGACTCGCGGGACTCACGAGTGCCATGACATCCTCGTTGAACGGAATTGGGCCAACATGGCTCTACAGCATTCGCGATCCCCCTAGCGTGAGCCAAGGTCACTTGAACTTTGGGGCCTTCTGATGCCATGTAGATTTAGAGGATGTTACATCTATTTTCAAGTGATTATCAATTCGAACGAAAACAAAGTCTGAAGTGAAACATGTTTGTCGTTGCTATGTTGTGCGTGCAACAAAATACGCAGACTGTCCTAATCGACGCTAACCCTAGGACCCTCAGCCTGAAACCCTATGCCTTGATGATGATGCTGCTGCTGCTGCTGATGATGATGATGATGATGATGATGATGATGATGATGATGATGATGATGATTTCCTCGCCTGGGAGGTCTCGCTATGGCTTGCTTCGCCATATAACGAAGACCTCTCAACTATGTTTTTTTCTGAAGCAAAAAGCTCAACTTAAAGATGACAAACCATATGCGAGCCCCTTTTAGAGGGGCCCGTGGTTGTCTTCATCAGTGATTCATTGTGTTGACTCTTGTTTGTTTATGTTGTGTGATATTTCGATGTCACGTTGTTCACGCTTGTACTACATGATGGTGCTAATGATGATACTAATGGTGATGCGAATGATGATGCTGATAATGAGGTTGATAATGAGACAGGCTACCTTTTCAATAATGACGCTTGTAACCTGAAAGTACAGCATGAAATTGAAATCTCCCTCGCCCTCAAAAACATCCCACATGTCCTTTCCCAGGGCACCTCTGGCCGCACCCGGACGTCGGGTGTCTGGAGGCCGCTGCTGGGCCCGAACGCCGCCCAAAACAACTCGGAATGGAAAGCAAGACTTCTGGCTACACGCAAGAATGCCCCTGGGCAAGGGTGCCCCAATTCGCCGGAAGCGGCCGCTGACAGCCCCCAAAAAAACTCTCGGTGAGATCTAAGGCGTTCATGAAAGCAGACCTGAGTGTTTGTTGGAGGTCAAGCCCGAAGGTTACCTCCCGACGCCAGAATTGGCGTAAAACCTTTTCAATACGTCTGGAGGTCCAGGGGGGAGGGATGCGAAGGGCGAGAGGCGACGGAGTGGAAGGAAACGAGGGGCGAGAGAAGGATGGAGGGAGACTGCGTGAGGTGGCTAGGACCCTCCAGAATGCCGCTATGGCTCTGGAGCTCCAGGCGAAAAAATCTGGCACACTGGGCAGATCCTCCTCCTCCCCCATTCCCTCCTCGTCCTCCTCCTCCTCCTTTTGTTCCTCCTCCTGTTCCTCCTCCTCGCTCCATTCCTTCTCCTTATAGACAACTCCTCCCTGTCGCACCCCGATGCCTGTTTTTAGGGCGGGCTGGGCGTGAGACTTCCTCACCATATATGACTCTGAAGCCTCAGAAGATACAACAGTTTCACGGATGGAGGGCGGGTCGCTTTCAAAATGTGGCTCTCGCCTCAGCGCCGCGCATATTCGTTTGACAAAAATTCCAAGAGTTTCACGGATTGAAGGCGGGTGGTTTTCAAAATATGCCTCTCGCCTTAGCGCCGTACACACTCGTTCTAAAAAATTGCCAGAGTTTGACGGACTGGGGGCGGGTCGTTTTCAAAATGTGGCTCTCGCCTTAGCGCCGTACACATTCGTTCTGAAAAATTGCAAGGGTTTCACGGATTCCCATGATCAACGCCCCCGAAATGGTGTTTTAGAAAGATTCAAGATTACGCGGGCGCAACAGTTATGTTGATTCGTTGTGTTGAAGTCCCAGAAATGACTTTCTGGCACGATTCTGGACCGGCAAGACGCAGCAGTCAGGTTGATACGTGCCGTTGAAATCCCGAGAATAATGTTTTGACACGCTTGGGGATCTTCGAACTGTTGTCTTCCAACGAGGCAGTTCCCTCTATGGGCATGAACAGCTGTAGGGGGCCTATGAAGAGGGAACTTGGAGGGTTCATTCCAACATCGTTGATGACTCTTAGGTTTCCACTGGTCCTGCTCCTCCTCCTTCGCTGCCTGCTCTGCCACCGCCTCCTCCTACTCTTCCTCCTCCTCCGCTGCCTCCTCCGCCAACTCCTCCTCCTCATCATTATTCTCCTCCTCCTCCCTCCTACCCCTCCTCCCCCTGCTCCTCTCACCATCAAACCATCATCATCATCATCATCATCATCATCATCATCATCATCATCATCATCATCATCATCATCATCATCACCATCATCACCATCACCATCATCATCATCAGCATCATCATCATCATCAGTATCAGCATCATCATCAGCATCATCATCATCAGCATCAGCATCATCATCATCACCATCACCATCACCGTCATCAGCATCGTCATCGTCATCATCGCCAACATCCCCATCATCGTCATCGTCATCGTGGTCGTCATCGTGATCGTCATTATCATCATCAGCAGCATCAGCATCATCATCATCATCATCCTTCTCCTCCTTATCATCATCACCAGCATCCTCAAACTCATATTCATATCCTCCTCCTCCTCCTCCTCGTCATCATCATCATCATCATCACCATGATCATCATCAGCATCATCATCATCATCATCATCTTCTACATCACCGTCATCATCATCATCATCATCATCATCATCCTCATCCACATCCTCATCCTCGTCATCAGCATCGACACAAACAACATTCGAAGCAGCATCAGCATCAACAACCGTATCAGCAGCAGCATCAGCCTCAGCCTCATCCTGAGCATCAGCATCAGCAACAGCATGCTCATAGTCAGTTTGATCTTCATTTTCATCAACTTCATAATGTTCATGATCATCTTCATGTTCCGCTTCATCGGCATCGCCATTACCAACAAAAGCAGAACCGTCCTCATCCGCATCCCCATCCTCGACGACGCTATCATCATCAGCATTATCCATCAGAACCACCACCATAATCATAATCATCATCATCATCATCATCACCATCAACATCACCATCGCCATCGCCACCACCACCATCGTCATCATCATCACTATTACCACCACCACCATCATCATCATCACAGTCACCATCACCATCACCATCACCATCACCATCACCATCACCGTCATCAGCATCATCATCATTATCATCATCAATATCACTATCACAGTTGTCAGCATCGGCATAACCATCATCACCAGCATCATCATAATCGTCATCAGCATCGTCCTAGCCATCGCGTTTCTAAACACTATCCTGTTCCTCCTCCTCCCCCTCCTCTTCATCATCTCCACCGCCATCATCATCATCATCATCAGCATCATCATCATCGTCATCATCATCGTCGTCATCACCATCAGCATCATCATTATCTTCAGTACGTGGTGAAGGAAACACCCCCGCCCTGTTCGACCTCTTCGACGTTGTCGCGGCCCCCGTGGCGCCCAGAGGGCGTCCGTGCATTGAGGTGCCTCAGTCGTTGGTTCACGATCCTCCTATTTCTTTTCCGTTCCTCCCCCGCTCTTCTCCATTTCACTCCCCTGAAATCCGACGTTGCGAAAAATTGCAACATTGCGAAAATCCCGACGGGAGCCCTAGACCCCATCTTTTTGCTGCATGTTGCGAACCGATCGATATGTGATGATCGTGGGACCCGAAACCGGGCGAAAACGCCCAGTGCGGAAAAATTTCAATGCCTGGATATAAGGGTCCTCCCTCCTTATTCTGCGGTGGCGACGATGGTGTCCCAGGAGGCCCCAACAGGCGAAAACGAGGCAACGGTAGCAGTATCAACACCTTTTCCTCCTCTGACCTCCCTCCCTCCCCCTCCTCCCCCCCTGAGGTCCAACGTTGCGAAAAAGTTGCATCATCGCGAAAAATCCGTCGACCCTGTCGGCGTGTGTGAGGGACTTGTCTCTTCGGGTCGTCGTCTCCGTCAGTAGTCGTCCCCGTCGTCCCCTTTCCCTGCGCCCTCCTCCTCAAGCGTGTCAACGAAAGAAAAAAATCGACGAATGTTGTAATCAAGTCGGAGGGACGCCCATTCCTTTTGATCCATGCCCTCGAGGGGGGTGGGGGGGTCATGGGGGGGGGTTCTGGGAAGGATCCCGGGGGAGGTCCCGGGGGGAGGGGCCAGATGCGCATCGCCCCCCGGGGGTCACGGGGCCTCCGAAAATACCAAGACAGGCCAAGATTGATCGATTGATTGGGCACCTGGTGGCGGCAGCTGTGGCTCTGTGACTGATGCCAAGGACGCGTGGCAGAGGTGGCCACTGCCGGAGAACGCCCAAGCCAAAGGGTGAAGGCCACGGGGGGGGGAGACGAGAAAGAAGGGAAGAGTCGAACAGGAACTGCGGGGACTCAGTGCTGGAGCTTCGCGGTGGCCAGCGGCGCGCCGTTGTCCCACCGGACGGCCGGTTGCCCAATGCAGACGCGCGTGCGAGGGCGCCCTCTGTGTTCTTGGTCCCGGCGTGCTTGGAGCCAGTGGCTGTCGCGCCGAAGCACGAGTCTCGTGCCCCACTGCTGCTGGCAATGGGCCCGCAAGAGATGGCCGTCCCAATGTACCACTCGCTCGCGCCAAAAAGTCTACCATCTTCGGCGCGGGCCTTGCGCGCGGCACGGGCGTTCCGGCGCCTAGCGAAGGACTCGGCGCTGTCACCAGGGCACTTCCGCATTCGCATAGCGGCTGAAACCAACCTGGTTTGCAGGCGATCGACCATCGCCAGCTGCTCCGCGCGAGTATCGGTAGCTGAATGGCGCTAAGGACGAGCGGGAAATGAGAAAGGCTTGAGCTTCAGCGGCGCCTTTGAAAAAGATGCCGTCCCAGCGTTGGCAAAGCAATCTTTCTAAATGGATGTTTGGTCTTGTGTTTACATGGCGCCACGCTGCCATTCGCCGCGATTGTGCGGCCGAGGACCCGGAACCCATTGACAGTCTGCCAACCTGGAAACTGCGTCTCGTCAGCCTGGTAACCTGCCACGGGCATCACGAGTTTGGAGAAAGGCTTGATCCTCTGCCCCCGCTTGGTCTGCAGCTGCTGTTCGGCATCATCGAGAATGCTGACAGTTTCTTCTGGCGTGTTGCTGCAAGCGAAACGGTTGTCAATGTACGATTCAGCCCTGAGGCACGACTCGTCGCAGCGGACCCCCCCCCGGTCTTCCACAACTCTGCCCTGTCATTCGTCACTTCTTCCACCAGGATCCGGGCAAGCATCAAGGGGGTTCGGCTTCCTGTCAGGCCCCCCCTGGACCAGTTCACGATGGGCATAGCGCTGCCGCCGGAGTGGAGGTTCACAACAGGCCAAGAGTGCCCCAAGAGGCCCCCCAGACGGTCCAAAAGGGCCCCCTATCGCCAAACTATCGGTCCCAAACACCTTCACGCCCTCCACTGCCCAGGAGGCCGCCAAGGCGTCCCAAGAAGCCTCCAAGAGCACGCCCGAGAAGGGCCCCACGAGGCAACATTCATTGATCTCCCTGTGTTTTTTTAGATTTAGGCGTTCACGCCTTTTCCGCTCCCCACCGCTCCAAGACGGCCCAAGAGACTCCCAAGATCGCCCCAAGAGGCCTCCAAGAGGCCCCCCACAGAGCCCAAGAGGACCCCAAGACACCCAACAACACCTCCAAGACGGCCCAAGAGGCCCTCAAGACGGCTCCAAGAGCATGCCCAGAGGAGGGATCCGAACGGACATTTCGAGCCCTCGGCCCCGAGATGCTCGCAGGAGGCACCGAAAAAGGTTCCCAAGAGGCCTGGTCCCCAGGAAGCCCGAAGATGCCCAAAGAAGCTCCCAAGAGGCCCCCAAGAGGCTCCCAAGAGGCCCCAGAATTCCTCCCTAGAGGCCCCCGAGAGCCTTTTGAAGAGACACCCGAGAAGCATCCCTCTGGCCCACGTCAGCGTCGTCGTCGTCGCCGTTGTCTTCGTCGTCCCCCGTCAGGGTCGGCGGCGCCGGCCGTAAGGCCTTCGCAATCACAACCAAATCTCCAAACCACATCTTCCGCTGAATCTTTCGCGCCGGATCGATCTGTGATGGTCCCTGGGCCCGGCAATGGGCGAAAACGCCCAGTGTGGAAAAACTGCAACGCCCGGATCTCAGGGTCCCTCCGCCTCATCCTCCTCTGGCGGGCTGAATCCTGAAGTTGTTCACGGCCTCCAGCACTGGCCAAATGCTGTCCTGTATGCCCTCGATCGTCCGCATCGCCTCTGGCACCCGCACCCGCAGGAGGTCGTCTAGCAGCTCGCAGGTTGCCTCCAGAACCCCCACGGCCTCCGTCGCCTGTTTGGCACGAGGCCGACGACGAGAGCTGCGGGACGGGAAGGGGGCGCTCACAAAACACACCTGCACCGATCCTCAGAGCAGGAACATCAAGTACCGATGCTGCTGCCCCTCGCTTTGGCCTGTGGGACCTCCGGGGAGGCCCCCCTTGCCACGGCTGGCTTGGCCACGAAATTCTTGTCAGAACGCACCCCTGGAGAGGTCCAGGGAGTGGCGGTACCGGTCTTGGTTTCCCCCGATCCTGGCCAGGCCCGTCCTGGCCCAGACATGCTCTCGTGTCTTGAAAAAATCACAACGGAAGGCTTTGGACAGTTTTCGACCTCACCTCCAGGAGCCCTCGCTGGGCCCCAGGACCGTCTCGAAATGACAAGCCTGGGATGAAAATCGGCCCTGGGGGGCGGGTCGGGACTTCTGACCCCGAAGCAAAAAACCGAGACGTCGGATGTCTGGGAAGGGGGGCCTGGTGTTCTGTGGTACTAAGCCACGCTACATCGACGCGAATCGACGCTAAGTCGGCGCTTCCCATCGACTACAAGACGCTAGCGCAGGCTAGCGCACCCTGAAGACAAAATTCCGGGGACACACACAAGACTTCACTGCCTTGCTACCGAACTGGTGGCCGACTCCCGCGACCATGAATCCGAAAATGCTGAAACTCGGTACTTCCGCCGCCCTCCGCCGGCGAGGGCCCGCGAACCCGCCACCAAGGACACGCAGAGGCGGGTCCTGGGCCCCACGGGTTTCTTCCAGGACCGACCATTTCGACCACGCGCAGGAGTGACCCTATAGGCAAGAGCGACCTTCGGTGCGCAGCTTCAGGGGGCCGCGGGGACGCCAAATCCAAGCGCAGGCCAGTGCTGGGGGCATCCCTGAGAGCCCGCGCGAAAAGTCACCCTGGCGAAGGGTCACTCGTACGTGTAGAAAACTCTTCATCCTGAACTGACTTGGTGTTGACGGTCCACGGGAGCCCCGATGGTCGCCCGAGCCCGAAAGCGCACCCCAAAAACCTGCAGGCCGCCTTTCCTCCAGAATCCCCTTGTCTTTGCGGCGGCCCTGAAGGGATCAACACCAAGGCCTCTTCTGGTGCTCGACTTGACAAAAACTTCCAGGGGCCAGCCGTGGCGACGAAAAACTCCGTGTGGGCCAAAGGAACTCAAACAGAAGATCGCCCGAAAACCTCGGTCCTCGATCTTCGATCCTCGATGGGTTTTCTTCGTGGCGACCTGTTCGAAGAGGGGAAGCACGGCCCGGTGCACGTCCTCGCGTATGGCTCTGTGGAAGTAGCCGTCCGTGGACGCGAGCAGCAGCTCGAGCTCGGTGTCGGCTGAGCTGGTGTTCCTGTACATCAGGCGTTCCTGCACCTTTCGGTCGGGGCGGAGCTCCAGTGGCACGTTCACGTCGCGATTGACTAAGCGGTGGTTTCTGACGCCGCCTGGGCCGTTCGACCTTGATCCGTCGCGGCGTTCCGATGGCGCGGAACGCTCGATGTCGGCCATCTCCAGACCAATGGCACGGCTCCACCTTGAACGCCCGCGCCAAGATCGCCGCCACGGCAACGCGCCGCGAAACTGTCGTACACGACATCTCTTCCCTTTGGGATCTCCTGGAAATTCTTGCATGGAGAAGAGAAGAGCGGAACGGAGGAGAGAAATGCGCATGACATGTGTCCGAGGAGGAGGAGGAATATCGGGATCGGGATCGGGCCCGTGGGAGTTCGTCTGCTACCTCGAAGCACCTGCAGGTGACAGCCTACCTATGCAACAACAGGGGGAACTCCGGGGGGCGAATCGAGAATTCGCCGAACCGTCTGATGCGGCCCGTGGCTCACGACGGACGCCACACCGCCCCTACGAGCACCCCCAGGACGGCACGCAGCCTACAGGGGGCCCGCTAGTGGGGACCAGTGAGATTATGAACTACCGCCGACCCTTGCCCTTCCCGCCCTTTCCCGAGCCTTTCGCCCTAGAAGGCCTCCCTTCTCTCTGGATAATCGGGGTATTTGACACTCCTGAGCCGTAGGCAGTGGGTAGGGGCGGGGGCCGAGGGCTCAACACTTCCGACAAAAACTGCGCCCCTCTGAATTAATTCCGCCAACCTTGCGCTGCCCCGCATCAGGCCCAGGTTGATGACACCGCGTGGGGGGTCCAGGCCTGGAGGCGGGGCTAAAGACTGCAAAGGATGACTGATGCTGCTACTACTGTTTCCTCCTAGGGCGGCTCCGCTTCTCATTCTGCTCACTGCTTCCCGCCCAACTCCGCAAGGAGGCGAGATGCGTCCCTCTCGAGGGAGCCCTTCGGCGCGGGGCCGATCTTCCGCTCGGCTCCCAAGGTGGACAGGATGTTCTCGATGATCGTGGTGATGGCGGGGCCGAGGGTGTGGGAGTGGTCGATCGCGTAGATCAGCCTGCCGCGCGAGTTCTCGTCCGTCTTGGCTTTGTTCTTCTTCCACTGCCAGTGAAGCACCAGCTCTCCCACTTGCTGTACCGTCATCGTCGCCAACTTCTCCGTCCAGAACTCCTTCAGCGGCTGCATCCACTTCCCCTGCTGCACCCCCTCTTTGCCGTGTAGCGTAGCCCCCCAATGCATCACTGTCATGAACACCGTCACGAAAGGTGGTCCGCGTGACTTGAGGCCCACGTTTTCTCCATCTGTCCGCCTTTTCTTTAGCTCCTGCGAGCGCTCGTTGTAGCCCTGCCCTGCCGTCTCGTTCATCGCCGCGAAGTCGCTGTCTGCGCTGACGTCGCACGCGCGGTAGACCGTGCTGCTCAGCTCCGCCAACGCGCGGCTGTCGGACAGGACGAGCTTGGCGATTATCACCACCAGGTTGTGAAGAGCGTTGCCTCCTTTTGTTGCTGCCTTGGCCTCGTCGCGCACGGCGCGCCCGTGCTTGGCCGCGGGGGCCAATGACTGGTCCGCCATCCACATCGGCTTCGGGGGCGATCCCTGATTCATAAGGTCTCGTCTCGTTTGGAACTCCCTTCCACGTGCCGCTCCCTCCTCCGCCGTCCAATCGCACTTCCACGGGTACTCCAGGGGCTCCTCATGGGTGTCCTCCAGGCCCTCCCCGGGATAATCCGAAGGGTGAATAACCACCGAAAGCTCCCGTGCACGCATCTCCGAGAAATGTACTCTCATCCAGAACTCCCGAAACTCTTTGTTCACAGTATCGCCAGGGCAACGTGCGAAGTGCGAGCAAACCTCACCTGCGTCCAGTAGCTCAGACGCTCGTTGAAAATCCGCTTGCAACTGCTTAAGCCACGGCGACGCAAGCGTGGGATGGACCACATCACCCGGCAAAGGAGCTCCACCCGTGTCGATCCTCACCGCCCCGAACAATAAGCAGAGCTCCTGATCATGATTCATTGGGGCAATAGCCCAACTCCGATGCCATCCGAGGCGTCGCGCGAGCAGCTCCGTCCCACAACTAGCTAGCCGCCAATGCTGCATTACCCTTTTGTTGGACCACGAGCGAATTCGCTCTCCCACCTTCGTGACCGCCTTGCCCTGGGGAGCCCCCCCCCCCGTACCTAGCCAGAAATGAATCGAGCTCACGAGCATGCCGGGGCGTCAGCAGCATTGGCTCCAGGCCCGTCAAGGCCGCATTCTGCACAAAACTGAGAAACAAGGTCCGCTCCCAGCGGAACGGCAGTGCAAGGGACCACACCTGTCCCAACGCATAGTACGCATCTGCCGTAGCCTGAATTCGCCTGCGGACCTCCATCGTCGCAGAGAATAGCATATTAATGTTTTGGCCCCAGGTATCGAACGTCTTCCTGAAGCTGCCCTGCAAGTTGTTTGCGGCCCCTGCCCCTCGCCCACTGCCTGCGCTGTATCGCCCCTGGTCCCTGCAACCAAAGCTGAATCTCCTGCTTGGATGTGTTTTGGGAATAAAACAAAATCCTGCAGATCTTCCGATAAAATCTCATCAACCTGCTTTATGACCCGAAAACATTGCCTCGCTGTACTGAGTGGGGTGGCCACATGAGCTCGAAAAATGTCGTCGGCATAGAGGCGCCCCCCTACGTTCGCACTGAGGTCCCGCCAGCTGGCCAGCAAGCCCGTCGAGGACGTGTCAAACTCCCGCAAGCGGTGAAGCCACTGCACAATCGGTCTCGAGAAGGTTCCTCTGAACAGTTCCACGACGAAAGGATCCCCCATCGTCCCGCCCTCCCCCGTCTTGATGCACAACCCTCCTTCCAAAGATGCTAACCAAATAACGATGCATCGAAAACGTTGAACGCGCAAATCAACATCCTGAGGCTCAGCATGAAGCTCCACTGTTTGCTCGAGTTCCTCCCGCGCACCACTTGCGAAAGCGTTCGACATATCCTTGTGCGTGAACGCGAAAGAATATCCTGCCCTTTTGAGGCGCCACCCCAAGAGCTGCGCTACTAAGATCGCACCTTCCCGACGTCTACCTACACAAAACTGTGTGCCATAGTCATGGGAGGTACTCGGAGGAGGCCTGAATATAACGGTTTTCCAATAGCCGGGAGCACACGGACCGCCCTTCGGCCCCAAGGCCAGGTTTTGCATTTGTTTCCGAACCTGCGCCCCAGAGCTAATATGCCACCGTAGCGGGGTACGATTAGTGGCCCGAATAAGCCTTAGACCTCCCTCAAGTATCTTCCCAAACAGCTTCATTGCTGGAACCTCCTGGCGGCAGCCTACGTCCGTGCCCTTGTTGTCGACATTCGCCGAGGGGCCCAAGCACATAAGCCAAACTTCAGCTGGTGGATGGCACCACCTTTCTTTTGCTGGAAGAACGGAAATACTTCGTGATTATCCACTGATCTTTTTGAGCCAGCGAGCAATCTTCTTTCGAAACATATACATTGGCCTCTGGGGGCGAAGATGCCAGCTATTCGTCAAGATCTATCTTGTGCGCCGACATGCCCCCCTCGCAACCCTTCAGGCCCCAGGAGTCAGTCAACTCTTTCTCCGTGATGAAGTAGCCGCCTCGCAGAGGTCGCCCATCACGTCTCTTGGGGCCGAAGCGGCACCTCGCCGCCTGTCTAGACAGGCGCATTGCTTCCGCCATTCTTCTGGCCTGCCACGCCTCGTCTATCTCGTCCAGGAGAGCTTCTTTCCGTTCCCGATCGTATTTCTGCCGCTGCCGTCGTAACCTTTGGCTGAGGTCCTTCAGCTTCTGCTCGCAGTCGTTCAGCTCCGTGGAATCTGTATTCATGTGACTTCTGGACCGCCTGCGTCGAGCTCTTTCCTTCAGAAGTTCTGATCTCTCAGCTGCTTCTTGCCTATGCGTAGAATCGTTTGATATCTCGTGTCCAAACAGCCGCTGCCCAGCACTAACCAGGGTGGTATCAATATGAAGAAATGTTTCGTCTGGCCTCCCGCGATTGAGCAGCGCCCTCCAGGTGTCCTCACTCTCCGAAAGGCTAGCTTCCACAGCTCCAAGAAACTCAACTCTGCGATGCCCCGTCATCAAACACTGCATCAAGTCATCATAGTTCCACCTCATCCTACCCAACGAGGACGACGACTCCGTAGCCGTAAACGCCTGCATGCCATGCAACTCCATATAGATCGGTACGTGATCCTTCGGCGTGGCCCGTTTGAAGGCCTGCAGCTCAGCCCCCAGCCCGAAAAGTGGAGAAAATCTCGGCGCCATGTCCAGCATCCCATCAGGCATGAATATATAATCAATGCAACTGCTGTGCCCTTTGTGTCCATTGTACGTATGTTCCAAAGTCGCACCGCGGGAATTCATCACAAACATGTGCTGGCGCGCCCCTCCGCGTCGTTGCTCCCGTGCTCGTCCGGGCCCCAGCGGCGTAGACCCCACCTGCTGCCGTCGGCATGAATTCTCCTGATTCCAACTCCATCATTCAGGTCCGCGTAGACCCGTGGGATGCACCTGCATGGTAACTGCTGCAAAATGCGCCCGTACCATTGTGTCAGCAGGTGCACCGTCGCCTTATAATGATGTACCGTTCGAGCATGCCGAGGCTGAGGAGGGAAACACATGACGAAGATCGCCATGTCGAGAGGACCTCGACGTATCCTCGCCGCCAAAGCCCTCCCCGCTGCACCTGTGGGGCTCGCCCAAGTCTGGCAGATGTTCTGTTCCTTGAACTTGTGCCCTAATATGATAGCGCAGCCCGTGGACTTGTTGGTGCATGCTCCTATACATGCCTTAGCCGCCAGAACCAATCTATTACCAATCTTCCGAAACAGAACTTCATCAACTCGTCGGTGCGACGCCTGCGTCCCCGCCGCCATCACCACATCCATGTTGCCACAGCTGCTAGCGATCTCGTGCAACCTCGTGCCCGAGGCGAACATCTGGTTGTACCTGAGCACCCTCAAGATCCACTTGCCCGCGGACCGCGCCATCGCGATGC